GATGTAGTCCACCACAGGATTATCATACGGTAACAAAAGATCTTCAGGATCAAAATGTCAGAGACAACTGTAATTGTAATTATCAAATTACAAGGTGATGACGAAGAGGAACAGACGTTACTGGACCTCGAGCCCAACTGCACATTCACAAACGTAGCTGTAGATAAACGAAGAACAATGGCACATATAAAGCATGATCAATTCGTGGCATACCAGTTGGTGCAACAAGTTTTGTTGGACACAAGAAGGTGCTACAGTTTTCTCCAATGCACTGCAGGTAGAAAATGTTTCGGATGATCTGTTTAGGCGGTTTTCTAGGCTATTAGAAGCAACGCGGTGATGCTGATATGCCGCATAAATCAGTTGGATAAGTGATATTAAGGTAATGAAGGTGTGGCTCAAAAAATGAGAATCATTATCATAGATAATCCAACGGCGGAAAGCAATCAAAATTCGGCTGACATGTTTGAAAGCTTCAACTAATTAGTCAAGGGAATAGAGATAAAATGAGGAACTAACATTATTTATCTTTTCCCCGTCAGGCACATAGTACCGATAGGTCACTCACGAGTTCGAGTAACTTTAGACACACGAGGCAAATATATTCTCTAGATCATTATGTGAATATATCGTCGCATCAGCGTAACTCCTATCAGAGTAACTAGTGAATAAAGTTAGATCACGGATTTAACATTCAACGGTAGAACCTTGCCAGGATTGTAGAATAAAACATAAATTAATGGCTAAAGATGAACAGTTTATATTTACTTGAGGTGTTGCATTGCTTTCTATGGAGCAAGGACCCCATCGCTCCTTCTGAGTCTGCTTGCTACACTTAAGATCGATACTGACTGGAAAAATAGTTATTACTTCAGCCGCTGCCCAACAAGTTGTGGGAACAACGATCTGCATGGAATGCAGTTGATTTAACTACGATAGCTATTTGTCCTTGATGTAGTAATAAATGAACAGAACCGTTCAGATCACTTATTTCTGACAAAAATGAAACAGTTCATTGGGAAGAATGAGCATCACATTTTTTCGACAGTATAAACTGTCATGAATTTAGTGGATGGAATTTACTGTTTACGGCTGAAGCAAAGACGGTGAAAACAAAACTTAATCAACAATTCAGTGTTCGATGGTGATCGACGATTATAGCAACCAATTATTTGTCGACCACTAGCTCAAGAACTCCTCAAAATTTTGCTTCAAGTACAAATTCAATACAGTGCTTGTTTCATTGAACAACGACGTTAGGCAAACTGACATTACAAAATGCTAGTACTTTCCTATTTCCCAGATGCTTGCGGTCTGTGATTAGATTATACAAACGTTACCGTTAAAATGATACTCAGACAGTATTATGCTTGCAAGTCTTCCAGTTCAACAATTTGTTTACGTCTATCAATAGTATACGACAAATACCTAACAAATCCCATAACAAAGCAGAAATTATCTAAAGAACAGTTAAAAAACTTATTCGATAAAACAAGCATTCGGTTCAAAGTGATATTCTTTCTCAGGAGAACTGCTTCAATAATTTGCAGTAACGGCTGCAAACGTCATGTTCTGTGGTATTGTAGTATTGTAACGTGGCCTAAGTTTGTCTAAAATCATAAATGCTACCAAATGCACAATGCTTGTTCGATTAGGACACGCTCTGGCTACTGGCAAGAAAATATACACGGGAAAACCGGAAACCACAAATAGTAGCAAAGAACTGAAATTTCTCTTTGACTTGAATCGTTTCATTAAAACCTGAGGAAAGTTTACTGCAGCAAAGCATGGTTGGAAAAGTATCAAACGTATTAAATCCATAACAAACTTCAGCTGACAATGAACAATAATCTAAACAAATGAGCAAGGGATTGAATTACGACAAGCTAGGAAATAAATATTAGTCGGCACTAGCTGGAGAGTAGGTACTGAACATGCACAGCAGATCGTCTATTTTATTGCACTGTAGAAGTCTAGTCTTCGCTATCCAATTGACTAATACGAGAAGGTCTTCGCGCGATAGCCACTGGTACTCCTTTTGTGACAGCACCTGGGGCGCAGAGAAGAACAGCGTCGCCCATTTCTGCAGCGTTAGGGCAGTGCTAAAAGCATGTGAGATAAAACATTCCAAGCAAGTTCTGACCGTACAAACAGCAGTAGCAATGGGAATACTTACGAAGCGTCGTCGACAAGTGCGTTGGCCCTTGAGGAGCACACGGCACACAGCAGCAGCAGTGCGTAGCTGAACTTAGTCTTCATGCAAGAGTTCAATGAATGAACATTTATTTCGCGCAGCACCACCGGCCAATACATAGAGTCACTGGTCAGTCCGATTAGCATCTTGCTGCACAGCGGCACGAACACTGCGTCAAAAAGCTGAAAGCGGCATTTCAAGCGGCACACGTTGAAAATAATCCATAAGATCTCACCCCGCTATTTACATCCTTCCTGTTGAAAATTTCCAAGTTTCTCAGAAAATGGCATAACAAATCGAGGAGATCTGACTAAAAGACGCATACCTTACACTAGTATAGTTGAACTGAACGGCTATTCAACAAACACATACAGTATCACTCAGCAGCAGAATTGCGCGACCAAGCAGTCGTTTAGCTTTGGCGATCGACATCACGACAGAAAACACATCAGGATTTTGAAAATACTGCACCAGCTGGTGAAGCATCTTGTCTCGAGACTTAATTGTGTCATGCCTAAAATCATTCAAAATTTAAAACCGTCCGAAAACTCCGTTCTTCCAAAGGTTTAAACTGTCAGAAGCGACAACAGGACACTGAACTCCTGATAAGGCTACATATTTAAATTTAACTGTGCTATATGCCAGACTAGCAAAGGGTCGGGAGCATCGAAGAAACCTGTCGAAGGTAGTGCTATCGCCATCTGAAAGGCATAACGGTAATTGGTATTGTATAGATTGGTAAGTCTGTTAGACATTGCGCAAAAGAAACATTAACTCTGGTGTGGCTGATAAAAAATAAAGTAATTCTCGTCACCGACCGCAACTCTAAACTGCTTAATTGTCAGAAGGATTTTTAAGTATGCCACGTCAAAAAATGATTAATGAAAAAAAATGGGTGAGTTAAATATATTCATCTAGCTTATACGCGACGGTAGGTCGATAAGTGAAGAGCAATGCTGCTAACGCACATGAAATCAAAAATTTTTATTATCAGTACTGCAATCAACCGAAAGTTTACCGCTGTTTACACCATTATTCAAGGCAAAACGTTTAAAGAGCAAAACAGCCTGGATGTGTCGTATGCCGCCGTTCGAAATGGTATCCATAGTTTAAAGAAGTTTTACGGAGATACAACTGAGAAGATTTCAGAGTCAGTCACTAATAATGGAGAAGAAAATTTACCAGACGCAAAGGAGTTATTCTTCAGCAATCTGCCATCGAAAAAAACCCTTTACTCTTGCCATGGAAAAATGTTACAGCTTCTTTTTATTCTGATGCAAAACTGCCGAATGTGCAATAAACGTTCATGGAAGAAACTGCCGTTTCTTTCGGCATGTCTTCTGATTCTATGATTAACCGGGCGAAAGTAGTAGGCTTTCATCTTTCTGACCTCAACTACGTCCATCGAAAAAGAAATGAAGCGTTCTCTGAAGTACATGCCAGTACCATCGACGCAGCCGGTTGCCGACTGCACATCAAGGAAGGGGGCACTAAAACAGGTTCTTTTCGTGGGGGCGGCGGAACAGGCGCATTGTCCGGTCGGCGACTATGACAGCCAAAGAATTTGGCCCCATGAAGCGGAAACGTCACAGGAGCTAATGCAACAGTTACAGTTTCTGCTTTAGCTCGCAATGACATAAAGCTACTCCTTGCGTGAAATAATTTTACGGTGTCACGATACTAATCGACCATCGCGAGGTCACAGTATGGTTAAAATCATGATATCACAGTCACGGCAATCACTTAATCGACTATTTTAACTTACAGCTATCTACGTCTTGTTAATACAAATGCGGTCGCAGTATTACAGACTATCCCTGACATAGGCAAATTACGTTGAAAAGGTAATGGGAAAAATTTCGAGTCATGAAATCAATAAATTTTATCTAATCCATCTATGTTACTGGCATAAAACCTAAGAGGGGTCTTCCGCAATATATGCACATACCACGTGAAGCATATGCATCAGGTTGTTCATTAGTGAATATGGAAATGCTGTGCATTTATATTTATACGCTCTAGTAATTTTTGGTGCTAGCGTGCACTGTCGCAGAGTAAAAGTAAATGACTGGAAAATGGCACAGAAGCAGATGAAGTTAACGCATTCAAAAACGCACCAAAATTACCAAAGAAACAAATGAAAATGTCAGCTATAAAAAGGATATGAAGGTTGACAAAGCCTGATCTCTATAGGATGTGATCTTGGCCCTGCACCACTTACAATGACTACAATTGCGAATGATGCTGCCATAAAATAAGCGTAAACATGATATCGAGGAAGTGATTAAAACTCATATTAGGATGAATTATCAAATGAAAATTCTATCGAATTAGAAGCAAAAAAATTTGCTAAAGCTGTGGCTTTGGAACCAGCAGTACAACCGAAA